GGTCCGCCTCGCCTCCTCAGGGCCCAGGGGGCCCGGGAAAGCGGAGCCACAGAGAAAGCGCCTTAATAAAGAGTCGTGTCAAGTGATTGGCTGTGACCTCTGCCCTCCTAGCCTCGCGCCCGGGGCTCCAGCTTAACCCTTCGTTGTCCGTCCAGTGCTTGGGGAGGAATGAATGAGTTGCCTCGTGCTCGCTCACTTCAGGCGTCCCCAGGCACTATTCGAACCCAGGGCTGAGTCAGGGGGTGGAGGACAGAGCGGTATCCCCCAGTCGTCCAAAGGAACGCTTGAATTCCAAGCTGTGCCACCGGATTCAGTTCAGGCTCCAGTGGCGTCCGAGTCCGACTGCCAGTTGCAAGGCCCCAGTTACTGCTCTAGCGGGGTCTCCAGATGTCTGGCGCCGAGCTGTCCAGAGCACCGAGTTTGGTAGAGGGCTAGTAGGAACTGGTGAAACGGGACCTGCATTCGCCCTGCAGACCGTGAGACCGGAGCATCCATGACCAGGCGAGGCGTGCCCTGTTCTTGCCAGAGGCACAAACCTTGTGCTTGTCTTCTGACGCTTGCCCGTCCGCCTACTGTTGCGGGAGAAGGGTATTTTGGCCCCTAGAGAACCCTAGACCCACCCACGTGCTTCTTAGAAGCAGGCGGGATTCCGGAAAGGATAGGGGTGAGGTGGCCACAGAGCAGGGCCCCCAGGTGGGGTGGAGGGCGGGGCGGGGGCGGGGCCGCCTCATGCACCAGCTGGGTATAAAAGCCTAGAGCTCCGGCGCCCAGCAGCTTTGCAATTGTCTTCCACACGGCTCGGACTCCGTGTGGAAGGATTAATTCCTCAGAGGGGGCAACGAAGTATCTTTGGGCTAAAGGACTCAGCGTCCAGTGCTCCAGCTGAGGATCTAAAGAGAAAGCCACCTCACTGCCACCATGCCTAACTTTTCTGGCAACTGGAAGATCATCCGATCGGAAAACTTTGAGGAATTGCTCAAAGCCCTGGGTAAGGTTTTCGAGCTCTGGGAAGGGGGCAAGAAGGGCGCTGGAGTCCTTGGAGCTGAGGAGGCGAAGGCCATAAAGAAAAGGAGGCCGAATCAGGGGGTGGGCGCCTGGGAGTCTGCATCCCAGAAAAGGGGCGTGCCGGATACCCTGGGTCCTGGGGCACCAGGCCCTGGACTCTTAAATCGTACTTTCTGAGGCTGGGCGCCCACCAGTGCCAGCTTCAATGGTGACTCAGAGCCTGTGAATCAAGTAGAAACCAGAAGCACGAGGTTAGTCTGGGGGTGGGGTGGGGGGTTGGCTAGCCTGGGCGCCTGGACCAGGGAGGGCGCCTGGACCTGCTGACCAGGAGGGCATCTGGCTCAACTCTGGGAATCCGGTACCCAGGCAGGGAGCCCTAGGAGACATTCCAAACTCTTTCCAAGTACCCTAACAGTAACCCAATCCCCACGACAGGTCCGTTACCGCCAACACTTGGCTCCGCCCACCAGGTGGTCCACCGCTCTAACTCTGGTACCCTCCCCCACTTGCACTTTTCACTCTGTTCTCCCCACCCCACCCCCACCTGTGAGACAAATATTTTCCTACAGCAAGAGGCTCCAAAGCCCTAAAATCGCTCTGGACAATTACCACTTTCTTGAATTTCAACAAATGTCCTCGTGTGAAACACCAATCCCCATTTCCAAAAGTCCCTCCTAGTAAGGGACCAGCTGCACCCAACGCAGCTGGGCTGTTAGCCAAGGGTGGGAACACAGAATCCACCCAGACGGCTCTTTCGGACCTTCCCTGCCCAATTTCTGCTGCCCTCCGTGTTGGGACTGGTCTAGAAAGTATAGGAAAGGAGACACATCTGAGGAGAGACGGAGTTAACCACCCCAGGGAGTGGAAACAGCTCCACAGCCTAAGGATCAGGATGCCTTCCACTTCTGGACTGGAGAGGAACCCGGGTTGGGCTGGGAAGCAGGGGATACCCTTTGAAGATTTAGGGACTATACAAGAGTGAATCTGGAACTAAAAGGAATGTTGCGAGGGCAGTAGGGCCTCAGTTCTCATCTTTCCTTGCTGTTAGTTCTTTGTGTCAGCTAACCTGAATGATTCTTAGAGTCATACCCATTTTTCTTGTTTCCCCCTCTGCTGAAATTAAAGATCAAAGGATAGAAATTTTCTTTGCAGAAAATCTTGCTCCCCGAAGTTGCTCTGTCCCCCATTTGCTCTGAATTCTGGCCCGGCTCCCTGGTGGATATGGGAGCCTGGCATCACCCCCAGGTTCCAGCTGGAAAGAAAGGCCCAACCCTATTATCTGCCTTCAGAATGTTTGTCCTCCCTGCAGGGTCTCTTAGAGCCACGCGACTTGCTAGGGGGCAGATTGAAAACAGACCTGTTACACAAACTGGCCTGTGTCAGCCAAGGCCATCTGAGCCAGGCCCCCAGCTTTGCAGACACCAAGGACAAGGTGGAGGGTATCATCTTCTGAACTCAGCCTCTGCAGACTCCTCAGTCCCTGTTCAAGGGTCGATGTTATGGAGGAGGCTCAGGGCTCACCATGATAGTCAGGGCCAACACAGCAGGGCTTTTTGTTGAGATGGGGTGAGTCAGCTTTGAGGCTTAGTGTAGTGTCAGTTTTCTTCTCAGGAACTATCCCAGAGCTATGGGATGCATGAGTATTTGTGTGTATGTGGCGAGGGGGGGGGATGTTGGTTTGAGCATCTTGCCCCCTGTTGTACCCTTGAAGGGTTGGTTCTTCACCTCCACAGACAGGCTTGGAGAGGTGGGGGTAGAGCCTCGTGTTGGTTCCCCTACCTTCTGGATGGGCGAGCAGGGAGATGTTCTCCATTTTCACAGGCCTCTTCATAACTGGGGAGCAGGGAAGGAAAAGTATATGAGGACACAGAGACTCTGAATACACAGAGGCGAAGTGGGAAGGCCTAGAGTATCTTGGGGCTTGAGACATCAGAGGGAGGGAGGGAATGCTACCCTTTTCTTCCCCTTTCCTCTTCTCAGGACAGCAGAGAATTCCTTTGAAGGAGACCTAAGAGCATCAGAGAGCAGCCTGGCACAGGGAACTTTGTCCAAGCCTAGTTTTGGCTTTTTCTTTTTTCTTTTTTTTCTTTTTTCTTTTTCTTTTGGTTTTTCGAGACAGGGTTTCTCTGTGTAGCTTTGGAGCCTATCCTGGCACTTGCTCTGTAGACCAGGCTGGCCTCGAACTCAGTGATCCGCCTTCCTCTTCCTCCCAAGTGCTGGAATCAAAGGTGTGTGCCACCATGTTTTTGTCTTTTTATTTGCTTCTATCTACAATAATGTTTTCAGAAAATATGAAGGTGTACTTGACCTTGTGTATCCTAAGTTCTTAAACATGGAGCCATAGGACAATTTGAGGAAGCTATTTCCATTTGACGGTTGAGGAATCTGAAACCAGAAAGCATTGAGCTGTCATTTGCTCAGGGTCACGCAGCCTGGAGCGGGAGTACCCCAGCTTCTGGAACTTACTCCCCAAGCCTCTGTCTTTCTGCAGGAGGAGCAGCTCCCTCTGCTCAGAATCCGTTCCTCACTCCTCAAGGGGCAGAAATTGTGCAAATGAGGACCTCACCTCATCCCAAACAGGGTAGATAGCTGGGGCAGAGAGGAAAGTAACCTTGCTTGCCTGTTCTACCCTACAAGTGGGCACAGGGCACGTAGTAACTCTGATAAGCCTACCTCAGCAGGTCTCCAGCCTTGTGGTAAAAGGCCAGACTGAAAGCCTGCCATGTAGCCCATGGGGGAAGCTGCCCCTCAGGATATTAGGAGTGGGTTTCTGGAACTTGGTGAGTCCTGTCTACAACTGGTCATAGTCCAGGTTGTATTCTCTGCCCCTTGCTCTCTCTCTACAGCCTTTCACCATTGCCACCCTTATCACCACCCCACTCCTATCTCCTACCCCCCCACACATACCATTAGGCCTCCCATAGGGTTTTTCCAGCTGTCTCATGGCAGGGTGTAGCAGGGCCAATCCTCTCTCCCTGCAGGGGTGAATATGATGCTGAGGAAGATCGCTGTGGCTGCAGCATCCAAGCCAACAGTAGAGATCAAACAGGAGGGTGAGTCTTTCTACATCAAAACCTCCACCACTGTTCGAACCACGGAGATTAACTTCAAGATTGGCGAGGAATTTGAGGAGCAGACTGTGGATGGGAGACCCTGTAAGGTGAGGACCAGGGAGGGCACCTTCCCGTCACAGCACCTACTTGCCATGCTTTTCACTGTCCAGTTTCCCTCTCTACTCTCTACTCTCATGAAGGAGTCCTTGGGAGCGCAGGGAGCTGGGAAGGGGTCTGTCTCCTTTCATTTGCATTGGCCCTTACTGTGAGCTCAACCCATTTGGCCTCTGGCCTCTTGCAGAGTTTGGTAAAATGGGAGAGTGAAAACAAAATGGTCTGTGAGCAGAGGCTTCTGAAGGGAGAGGGCCCCAAGACCTCCTGGACCAGAGAACTGACCAATGATGGAGAGCTGATACTGGTGAGCACTACCCCTCGGCCCCTCCCATCCTCTGGAAGACCCCTGCTGCCTTCAGCCTTCTGTGCCAGGCTCCAGGCTGCAGCAGGTCCAAAAGCCACTGTGGCCATTCTCTTCATCCTCCTGATAGGGTTGTTTTCTGTAACAAAAATGTGCCCAGAGGAGCCCACAGTTTTCCAGTAGGCTATCCTCTCCTGCTTCTGGACTCCATGAGGAAGTGGGTTTCTGCTTGATCCCTAGCAGTGATACCCAGGCATCCTTACATCTGCTCTTGCCTGTTTGGGCTTGGAAGTGAAGACATCTACCTCTCAATCTTCCCCTTTAAAACCAAGGTGCCAGGAGCCTCACCAGCTAACTGCTTCTATCCTTCTAGACCATGACAGCAGACGACGTGGTGTGCACCAGGGTCTACGTCCGAGAGTGAGTGCTGCCAAGAGCTGCCAGAGACTTCTCTCCTCCCCACCCCAGGCCACTGAGCCTGTCTATCTTACAAGCTAGCTGTCCCCTTACACCTGAGAGTCACTGCTTCCTCCAGGGCCCTTTGTTCTTTGCCTCCTCTATGCCAGAAAGGGACAGACTACAAAAGCCCAGAACCCCTTCCACCATCATGTTCCCCTCCCCAGGTCAGCTCCACACCAGGGTCCTTCCTGGAGGAGACTCTCTCTGACCTCTATCCTCGTAGTCTGTATGATTTAGAATATTTATTTGTTAATTTTATTAAAATCTTTTAAAAAGTAAAATCCTGTGGCTCCCTGGGCAGTGGGAGACAAGTGGCCCTGTTTAGCCTTGTCTGAAGTTCAATGGGAGAGGTTCCTGTCCCAGCAGGTCAGCCATGTACAGTGTGCCTCCCTTGCCAGGCAGCAGTGTCTCCTCTATTCTGTTCCCCAGCTCTGGTCTCCTAATCGGAGTGCTGTGTTCTAAGGAGCTGACTCCCACTCTCTCCACCTGTTTTCCATAGTGGTGGCATGCACTGGCTTCCCACATGGTTCCATATGAACCCAGTGACACCCACAGGCTGACTGCTCCTGTCTAGGTCTCTCAGAGAAAAGTGTCCTGCCAGTCAGCACCCTACAGCCGCCACTGTCCTTCCTCCATACCTCCAGATCTCCCACAGGCCCTTTCTGCTCCTGGCTTCACCCTCCTTAGGTGCCCCTCCTGAGCCTGCAGAGTACATACTCAAGGTGTGACTACAGGCAAGTTGTTCAAACATCTTTGAACTTTTTTTGGTTTTTAAAACACCAAAGTGTTTTAAAGAATGGTGGCTTGTTCCTTTAATCCCAGCATGTGAGAGGCTGGAGCAATGAGCTCAAAGCCAGCCTAGCTACTGTGTGACTCCTGTCTCAAAAGAACAGTAACATAGATGGAGAGATGGCTTGGTGGGTAGTGCTTGTTCTGCAAGCATGAGTACCCAGGTTTGGAGCCTTAGAACTCACATGGTATAGCTGGATGTGGTATAGCTAGATGTGGTAACATTCTTCCAGGGAGGTAGGAGGCAGAGACAAAAGAATCTCTGGAGGCTCGTGGGTGTACAGAGTGATGAACAACAAGAGAACCTATTGCAAACAGAGTAGAAGGCAGAACTGATACCTGAGGTTGTTCTCTGACCTCCATTTGTATCATGGTATGTGCCTGCCTTCACACACACACACACACACACACACACACACACACACA